GCAGAAACCAGAAATCAAGGTATTTGCTTTTTGAAACACTCAACGGTTGTATTTAAATGAACATTTTTTCTATTGTACTTACTAAGTACAATAATGGAAAGAGTGAAAAAAATGAAATCAAAGGATCTCATCATCCTGCCCTAAATATGACTGTAAGCATTCATTCTCCACTTGCCATCTAAGAACAGATTCTAAAAATCCTTTTATTCCCTCCTTCCAAAAAAACAAAATGCAACTAAATATTTGTTAGGTGTAAGTACCATGAGTTTTCATTAAGCAATAAGCTCAGGAAGAACTAAAGAGTCATTTAGTCTGCTTGACCCTTCTCAAACCTTAGGCCAGCATTAAGCAAGGACACAGTAATGAAAAGTACTTAAACTGACAACAACTCAATCACCGTTTCAGTTAAGCACAAATATTAGCTCTTCTAAACATAACTATAATACTGTGCTTTTTCCTAAAGTCAGCTTGCCTAGGTCATCTTCAGCATTAAGGAATACAATTTGGACACTTATTAAAATATTTTTCTGAGAAAGTGAATGGCTGTTTTTAATTTTTGGTCAGAATGGAAAAAGGTGCACCAACGGTTTGACTCACTTAATCTGGTCCTTAAAATATGTTGCAAACACTACATACCAAGAAAATCTGTATCTAACAGTGCTGTTATCCCATTTTCTTAGAACACTCAGATTAAATTAGGACATAATCAAGACCAGTGTTTGAACAAAAACCTAGCAATGAAACCAGATAACAGAAATCTATCCATACTGACAATAGAGCTGAATTTTCTGATGCAAAATCTTCAACGAGAATACCAGCTTAGGCTCTTTTTCCCCACATACTCCATACTATTTCCCCACTGTTTGTCAAGAGGACAAGCTAACTGAATAAAAAACAACTTGTTATCATCTTTACAGCAGAATCACAGAGCTGTGTCTGCATACCTGATGGCACAATGCATCCCACCTGAATTAACAGCTTACTGACACAAAGGTGAATAAGCAGCTTATTGAATTATTTTGCTTTCTTTCTATCCTGTTCCACCTTGAGAATCAAAGTCAACAGGCCAAGATGGAAAGCCATTTTTAAAATGAAGACAAGGTTGTTTCCTCCTCCTGCAAGTAATACTCAGTCTGTTCCATGTTCAAATGAGCGGCATCCGGAGGTCAGAATGAAACTTTATCAGCATCAGTAAAAGTGTTGAGGAACTTTCTTGAGAGCATATCATGATTAGCAACATTCTGCAAAGGCCAGACTAAGCAGCCATGAAAAGGGGAAGCAATTTTGTCTATATTGCATAGAACTTACTAATAAAGAGGTCAGAATTTATACAATATGTTCCATAGTAGGTACTTACTGTCTCTAATAAAATTCAGCAATTAACATTTATTTTTCACTTAGCAAGAGACATTTGCAGTCAATCAATATGATTCTAATATCTTTCTTCCAAAAAAGTTAAATAAATTTAATATTTGCAATATTTATATGCCTCTTTCCATTTATTATTTAATGACAGACTCCTTTTCTCCTGCTAAAACTACACTTTTATTCACTAGCACCATCCAACTTAAAAGTTAAATACAGACAAGGCACAGTGGTGTTAAGGAGGCTTCACCAGAAATGCTAACGCTAGGTTCAGTCACTCATAATGCTTTGAATCAGCATTACAGAACCTGTGTGTACTTTTCCACTACGACAGGAGGACAATACCAATGGCAGGGACAAAAGCTCCACAGTTGGCAGCATGAATGTCAACTCCAGATTGGCAAAGTTTTATAACTCCCACAAAAGTCTAATGAACGTAGCTTCACTTGTTCTGTATTAAGCCTGAGTTTTGAAAAAGTTTATCTACACTGGATTCTGAATTCACAACTTTGTATGCAGGTTTACTTGCCAGCTCAGTTTTTCACATTTAAACTCTGAATTTTCTGACTTCAGCATAACTTACTTGTGCCAGGCTCAAATTAAGATGCGCTTACATGCTTTCCATGTTTCATGCACTTCTATGAATTAGTATGTCACTTCAACCAAAGCTAGCAAGTAATCGCAGAAGTGGGCAGTCTCCATCAAAAGAAGCAAACAAGCGAACAAGCAAAAATAAAATTGTTGTTGGAAAAAGATCTGCTGAAGGAAATTCAGTTTGATTGACACACGTTCAGCAGATTTGAAAGTTGTTATTTAACTAAGAAGTACTTAAAGTATTTGTCTAGTTTAACAGCATTGCCATTCCTATGTAAACTGAGAATGCAACAGTCCAAAAGTTCACAAGGCCCAGAATCCTATCTTCAAACTTGCTAAAAGTACCTGGGACCTTCGGAAGAAAATAAGCACACAGCAATATTTTGTCAAAGCACTCTCCCCAAAACTACATAGACAGACAGACTAAAACTAAAACAGAAAGACTAAAATGTTAGAGATACAAATACATTAAACACAGAAATAAAATAAGAGCAGACATGTAAATATAGCGTATCCATCATAGACACACAATAAAAAAAATCAGTACCTAAGTAAAGGAAGAAGCAAAAAAAAAAAAATCAAGAAACAAATCTGTAGACAAGGAGTCTTGATCTAAATAGCATTCACTGCTCTCTAAACTGCCTTCCAAAAGCTTATGGCAGTAAACTACCAAAAAAAAAAAAAAAAAAGATGTGAAAAAAAAAAAAAAAAAAAACCCCCAAAGCTAAAAAAAAAAAAAAAAAAAGCTGGAAAAAAAAAAAATGGGCTAAGATTCAGATAACAAATTTTTACATTTCTGGGACAGACATCCCTGAAACATTCCTCTTTGTTTTTGGCTTTGTGAAACAGATTTTATTACTAAAGGATACAATGACACACACAAAGCCAGAAAATCAAAGAATCATAGGGGTTGGAAGGGTCCTCTAGAGATCATTTAGTCCAGGGCACCATTGGCCTTCTTGGGCACAAGGACATGATTCCTCATGTTCAATCCACTGTCCAACAGGACACCCAACTTCTTCTCTGTAGAGCTCCTTTCCAGTCAGGTTAGCCCCTAACTTGTACTGATACATGCAGTTATTCCCTTCCAAGTGCAGCACTCTGTACTTGTCCTTGTTGAACCCTCTACAGTTTCTCTCCACTCAATCTGTCCACGTCCTGCTGAATGGCATCACAGCCCTCCAGTGTTTCAGCCTCTCCACTCAGCTTCATATCCTCAGCAAATTCACTGAAGGTGCACTCTATCCCTTGACCCAGGTCACTGATGAAGATGCTGAACAAGATTGCGCACAGTATCGGTCCCTGGAGAACAGCAGTAGCTAAAGGCCCCCACCTAGATTCTGTGCTGCTGATCACAACTCTGAGACAACGCTAATAGACAATGCCTTGTCTGTTTACACAATACAGGCATAATTATCTCCTTATTTTAATAAAGTTAACAAATGCCAAATTATTTTGCATAGTAATCACACTTCTTCCTTCTCCAGAGTACTAATATAACTTTCAAAATATCTACAAAGAATTATACAGTTAAAAATGCAGATGGTAACACATTAGTCTAGAGAAAAGCAGTAAGAATTTCAGCTTCATAAAACATGGACTTCAAAGCTCTATAATGCCATGGTTTTGATCAGAGCAGAATAAATGCATTAATTAGTTCACAACAACTTGGACCAATATCAAGTATTTGTCTTTTTATCCCTTCTGTAAAAGAGTAATAATTAACGTGAGGATCATTACAAAGCCGTAGAAAAGTGGTTCTCTCCACTTCATTGTTAAAAGGAGCAGTGAGTATGAGAAGTTCAAGGCAATGAGTATGAAAGCTACAGCCACATGAGCTTGACCCCAGGTGTCCTGGGATGTCCTCCAACGCCAGGTATCACTGAAGGCACAGTTGCGCCTCGCTCATTTAGGCTGAGGTAGGTGAGACATTTACAAGGTGGCAAGCATCTACCAGATTGCTCCTTATTAGCTGGCAGACAGTCCTGAGCTACTGTATATGTAGTGAGTTACTAAGCACATACTGCTATTTTGATTTTAGATCTGCTATTTCATTTCTTTTCCATAATATCTGCCTGTTAGCTAGAACTCATCACTTTAAACTCATCCTAAAGGACAAGAATAAATGTATAATTTTGAATGCCGCAGAGACCAAGCAGACACTGTGACACAGAAGCCCTGCTGTGCATTAAAAAAAAAAAAAAAAAAAAGACAGCTTTTATTTGTAGAGCTACCTTTAGCTCATAATTTTCAGTAACGTTGTTTTCTGACAGTATAAATACAAATTTTATTAGCAAGAAAGATGAATGCCTCCTACTTAACACTTAAATATGTAAAGATAAAAATTAGTTTTCCCAACAGGTTAGAACAGGCTTTCTGTTCGAAGAGAAAGTTACTTCGGTAGATTCTTTTCAGATATATTCCTTCTTTAAACAAGAAATATGACATTCAGCACAATCCTTACTATAATTTTCATCTTAATTCTTTAAAAGCAATTGAATGTGTGAGTGCATCTGTAAATAAACACCACAGAGAATGAAATCCTGTACCGTGAGAACCTCATTTCCTTAATCTTAATACTTTTCCACATCACAAATACATCATCTGTATGATGTGGTACCATATATATAGTTTTGCTGTATTTTACATTTTACTATCCACAAGTCTGAAGATATTTACATGTAAACAGTCTCCTACTTAAACCACCACCAAGCTTATCTGTTTTCCATTGGGTTAGAAAAAAAAAAAAAACCTTACACACACTTCTGAAGTATAGAAGTGTCATTAGTGGACTATCTATTTTATAATATATTATTGTGAAGGATTAATATTCAGAAAAATACGGTTAAGGGAAGCAGAACTAACACAAAAGACTTGTAACTACCAGTCAAGTAACAGTAAAAATAAGCAGCATTATATTCTGACAGCACAGGGCTTTGAACCTTGATTATATTTTAGGTCCCTGCCAACACCAAGTGTTTTACTGTTTTATACAAAAAGAAGGAACAAGTGCACAGGAAAAGATGAAAAATGATTCATACCTTAAAATCAACAGCTGAAACATCTGTTACAAGGCTGTATAAAAAATGAGAGAAAATGAAAGATGTTAGAGGGCAAATTATTACAAAGATAATGGTAAAAAGGCTAAAGAAAGAAAGAAAACAGTTGCAAAAGTAAAACTGTAATGAGCTGTGGACTTTTCTCTTGCAAAGGAAATGGTTTAACAATGTACAGTACGGAGAAAAAACAACACAGGATGGTCTGGATCGCAATAGCAACCAGTCAAACTTCTGCAAAATTTCTATATAAACCACACCCTTTTTACCATCAATCTTTAAAAATAGTTCCTTGTGAAAACAACAACAAAAAGCATGAACAGTATTACAGGTATGTATCAACAGCTACACCTTATAGAATGAAGGACACCCATTTCTGTTATTACAGAAATAATATAATAATAATAATACTAATATGGTACATTATTAGAAATGTATAAATAATGTACCATACTTAGCTCGTGGCTAGCATATTTGAAGGGGAACAAAAAAAACCCCACAGCAACACCACTAATCTCCCTTCCCACGCATCCGAAAAAACTATGAATTGATATGAAGCTACCAAAAAGATTTGCCCTTTGAGTGATCATTCATTTAAAAGCATTAAACTACTTTGGTAAATATTTACTTCAGAGTGATGAAGTTGTTCAAGAACATAAAAGTAACCCTATTCTCAACTTGATCACAATACTCCAAAGACACATTTTAGATAGTTTTTCTTTTTGAGTTTTTAATTTTAGGATTCACATTTTAAGCTTCTCTCCACAACAAATGCCATAGATGTATATATTTTAACGAAGATTTGTATTCACAAATAATCATATAATAACTGCAAGATTTAAAAACTCTGAGAATTGCACACTTGAAACCAAGCAGATGTAAAGTAACAGAAGTCTGCACAATTATGTGCATCACGTAAATTAAGCATCACATGAATAAGCTACATTAAAGATTTGCATCAAGATTAACAATAAAGAATAATACTTTCATAAATGAGCTGAATTTTAAATTACTGCTTAAGATTTTCTAGGAGAGTAGTCTTGTATGCAAGAAAAGCACAGTCACATCTATGATACCCACTCTTCTTGTTCTTTTTCGCTGGTCTGCTTTGTTTCATCCTCATTCGTCATTTCTTCCTGCATGATATGTTCACATGCAGTAGTCTTTGATCCTCAGCTCAAGTCTGTTTCACCTGTTGAAACAAGCACTAACAGAATAGCCACTGTTAGAATCATCTTTCGGAAAAAAAGCTTTGATAATAGCATAGTTAATCATACAAACAAGGACAAAATAATCTCTCATTGCCTACAGAGTCATGAGAGCACACAACATTAACGTAAACTACAGTAGAGTTTCATATTTCCCCATATCCATAAAGCCTACATCTCTTGTCGAAATGAACGCTGCATCTTTTCAGTATGCAGTAACAAGCACCTCTCCCTCCATCATTCAGTCTCCTCAAATAAATCATCGTTCATACAGAATGCAATTTTCCCTCCAGTGCATCCTCTAACAGCCCTCATTTCTTGATACTTTGAATTGAATACATGAGTTTGTTTGCAAAATTATTATTTTTCCTGATCAAGGTATACTGAAGTGATATAGCTTCACAGTAAAATGACTTTAACATTAAGTGTGGCTTCCTTTCGGTAGGGGGGACAGACCTGATTCTGATAAGAAAACCTATTTTTGAATTCTATTAATATTTAAATCTACAGATCATGTTAGCATTCTAGGTATTTACACTGGTAATTAAATGAGTTATCACCTTTGAGCAGCCTAGAGTTTTAAATCAGATTGCTTTAGTTAAAAATCAAGTTAGTAACACTCATTACACTAGAACAGTTTTAATCTAGGCTTCAGATGGCATTTTTGAGAACCCTGGATCCTACTGAGGCTTTGTTTATTATCAGTCTCCCTCCATATCTTTTAAGGCACATACTAATATGATGACTAGTACCATGATAAAGAGCTCCTCCAAGAGAACGCTGTTCACAACAGTCCAAAGAATGCTTGTCACAAGTATGGATTAACAACATCTACTTCATACAAAGGGAAAAAAAAAAAAAAAGATGATAAATCCCGTGGCTGCAAAATAAAATTCACAAACTAAAAACTCCCAAGGAATCACAATCTTGTTCCTTAGTGATTCTACAGCACTATTTACATTGCCACTGTCTCATCCTTCGGCAGATGGATGAACAGAAAACAAAGATTCTGCAGACAAGACTTAGCAATGAAGAACTACTTTCAAGTTACTTTTACACTTTTTAAGTACTCAAATTTATTTCCATGTATATTTTTCTATTTTTGGAAAAGAGAGCCATTATACGTATAAAACCTCTATTTCAATAAACTGAATAATATATGTCATCGAATAAAGTGGTGTCATTCAAATAGAAAGGATCAGCCTGGAGTCACTGATCTACCAAACACTTCTAGACTAATGATGAATAAGACAACTCCATTTCTAAAGCAACAGGTAGCTGCTTTTCATCCAGGAAAAACAAACAAAACCCATAACTAATACATAAACAGAATTATAGATACCAGTTTATTTTGTTTATCAGGAAGCAATGTATATTTTCACTGACTCTCTGTTGCGGCACAAGCTAAACAGTGTTACAGACCTATAAGACTGGGCAACATCTGCACCTTTTCGGTGTATATCTTCAGTTACTCTTTGGCACCCTTTCCCTATAAATATTTGGTTCTTCAGAGCAGAAGAGGAGGAAAAAAAAAAAAAAAAAAAAAAACATTTAAAAAGACACAAAAAAAATTTAAGAGAATACCTGCATTCATACTTATCTTCTGAAATTGCCCAATTCTATACGGAGAGCAAGCCTCTGTGTACCTCTACCGACTCTACCAATCATATAGAAAGATTGTCAGCATTGACAGAAGCCAAATGATAGGTTAACAATTAATGTACTTTTGAAGCTTCCATGGAGGAAGTTTCATACTAAACTTTCTACCATATCCAGTGCATTATACTGTGCAATGAATAACTTGAAAAAAAAAATAAACAAAGAAACCCTACAGATTCCAATCTGATGGTGTTTTGGGAAAGGACAGGTAACTGAACCAAGAGGGAATGAACAGATGTAAAGCTAGAGTAATTCTTCTGGTAACACAAGATATGAATGAGTATCTTGTCTGCATACATAAAGCAAGAAAAAGAAATTATAGAGACTGGAAAATAGAGGGAAGTAAAGTGACATTAAAAAAAAGTAAGAAAACATATGCATTATAGTAAAATGAAAAAATGAACAACAAAAAATCCCAGAGAAATGAAACAAGAAGGAAAATCCTCATCAAGCCAAGAAAAGCCTGGTAGGAAAATAAGACCGCTGAAAATCAAGAGGGGTTATGTACAGCTTACAGATTGCACTAAGTCACCTGGCATGTATCTCAAATGCTGTATTCATTTAATTTGCAGTGATCTTTGGGTCACTGTGGCAACATGCATTTAACGCTGACTGGCAAACTGCATTCTAAGTGTTTCTAGTGTACAACATGTTCTGGTTACGAGTTCGAAGGTGTACGTCAGTCTGCTGTCTGATAATGAATGAAGCTTAATTCACATGCTTATTCAAAAGGAGCCCTAGAAAAACATCATCTCTCTGACATCTGCATAAACATTCTTCAAATCCTCCATGCTTTTCAGAAGTACTGAGTCTAGGAGTTACACAGAAAGCAAGAATCAAAGTTGAAGCAATGCTCTCTATCAAATCACTGCAAGATACAGGAGAACAAATCAGCAGCAGCCTGGTCTTGGTTATAGAGAGAAATTGCTCCGCGTACTTTTCACATGCTATTGTACACGTAGCAACCATGCCCCCTAAAGTCAAGAAAAGGGTTACCAAGTCCCTGATTTCCCCACGTTGTCTGATCCCAAACCAGAAGAAATCCTAAGATTTGATTTCTGCCTGTTGAATTGTCTGTGGATCACCCTTGTTTCCATGGTAAAAGCAATCTAACTCCCAAGGGCTGTTTGTTTACAGTGATAAAATCCCAGCGGGGATTACTGAGTGAGCATCTGGTGGGGTCAACCATATGACTAGAATGTATGTAAGAAAGCATTATATTGATTCCTATGCTTCTGGTACGCACTTTTGAGAAAGTATGTCTTCGCCTAGACTTCAAATGCCGCTACAATACACATGTCTTTTATGGAATAACATCACCATGTTATACTATCTGTAGCGTGGTGTGATTAGGAAAGTTAATTGCAGAGATAGTGGTCAGATCGTTGAATCATACAAGCGCTCATCCCATCGGCTATCACCAGAAATTCAGGGTGCGGTTTCCTGGTCACTTTATGCTGATCTAAGGCTGAAGTGTGAGGAGCCAGCCAGACTGTCCCCCACCCACCTACATTCACAGCTTTCCCTGAAGCTATCAGCACTGTGGCAGCACGGTACCTGAACAATTTACCATGTGGCTCACACACACAAATACTTCACTATTATGCAGGTACAGAAATGAGCTGCTGAGGATGGTGCTGCACTTCTAGCAACTGTCCTGTTACAACAGCTTTAGTTAAACGGCAAACAGCAATAGCAGGGAAGATTGCTACTGACAGAAACAGTCAAAACACTTTTTCCTTTTCATCTATCCACTTGCAACTGTGTCAAAAACGTTGCCTTCCACTGCAACGTAAAAGTTGCATCCACAGATTTGATAAGACAAACTCCGTTTCCACATACTAAAATGGAAAAAAGTCTCAAACACAAAGCTCATGCAGTACAAAAAGAAATTTAAAATACACATGAATGATGGTCAACATCAGAAAAACTGAAAGCAAAAGTGACACTCCATGAAACACTGTTCCCTATCAGAGCTACAGGCTTACTTTCATTATAGAGCTAAGTCCCACCTTCACATTCTGATACAACTGGGTTTAATAAGCAATACAATCTACACACACTTATGTTTGCCACTTAGTACTTCCAGAGGCAATCAGCTAGCATGGCATTCCTGCAGTGGGAACATTCGTGAACAGCCCCTGGTGAAAGTCTGCATACTCCATTGCTGATCTCCCCCCAGGGCACCAGAAGTTTTCTTGACTGTAGATGAAATAATTTAAACAATATTTTGGAACTGGTAAAGAAATTGTGGGTGATTTAGAATTTGCTATTTTCATGTTTCTGATTCCAGACAAGTCATACTTTCAATTATATCAGATGTTGCTAGTAAGCAAGTTTATCCAGTGAACAGCGTTCTCATGTGGAGTGATGTTTTCACCCAATATTTGCTCAGTACGAACATCTTTCCTGAACATATAACTCAAACTGCATTAGAATCAGATATCAACAGAGGAGTTATATTAGAATTATAAATCCTACATTTTCCTATCATATGAAAAATACATAATGTAAATCTCGTAAATATTTGTGAACTCTAGGGATAATCCCATATATGCATCTCTTTAAAAGCTTGAACATAGAATCATAGAATTGCTCAGGTTGGAAAAGACCTTAAAGATCCACTAAATCCAAATCCAACATCAACTTCCAGAATTTAGAAGCCTTGTAAAACATAGAGGTTTAGTCTGACAATAGAGTGGATGAATTGAACTGGCAAATAGACATTCAGTTTCAGTATTTGCTGCTATTCCTGACTTTTTCCCCTTACTAAAACACAAGAGTCAGTATCTTCACTTAAAGAATATATATGTGCACACAAGGTCTGCTATCAACAGTCAATTGAAAATTACAGCTTATATCATTGCTAATGGCTTTCAACTTAATCACCTTAACTTGGATCACATTTACCTCCAAATGCAATAATATTAAACAGAGAGCCAATTGCTTTGCCATAAAAAGGGAAAATTTTCATTTAATCACAGAACAACCCAAGCTGGAAGGGACCCGCAAGGACCATCGAGTCCAATCCAATCTCTGACTCCACACAAGACTATCTAAAACCGAAACCCTGTGCTTGAGAGCGGTGCCCAAACACTCCCGCAGCTCCAGCAGCTCAGGGCCGTGCCCGCTGCCTTGGGGAGCTGTGCCATGCCCACTGCCCTCTGGGGCACAGCCTTACCCTGACCCCCCGACCATCCCCTAGCACTGCTCCATGTCGTTGCCTCTGTCACTGTCACAGAGCAGAGCTTATTGCTCATAGGCAGCTCACTGCCATGAGGCACCCCTCAGCTCCTCTGCTCTGAGCAAAACCAGGGGCCGCAGCTGTTCCATGCACCTCTTGTTCTCCAGACCCTTCCCCATCTTTGTCTTCAGACTCTCTGATAGTCTGATGTCCTCACACCAGCACCCAGCCTGCATGCAGTGCTGGAGGTGAGGCCACACAGCACAGAACGAAGGGGACAAGCCCTCTTCTCACCCCAGGGCAAGTTGGCCTTTCGGCATGGTGCTGACTCACATTCAGCTTGCTGCTGGAGAGAAGCTTCCTGATCTAAACAAAAACATTTCCTCTTTGTTTAACTTCATGCATTCTGATCCCCACTAGAATTAAGTTTTGTATTCAAACTATCCTCCACATCTAACAGGACACAACTACTCCCCGTAAGTAATATCCACTGGTTCCAAAGAAATACAATGTTATTCTATCACTCTGCTTATTCTGAAAAGTATTTAACAACTAAAATACAATACAGATTTTATTATTACTGGGTTTTTTTGTTTGTTTGTTTTTAATAAATTATTCGTTGTTGAGCACTTTTAATTCCAGTGCCTCAGCAGCTTGTGTTTTAACTGCCTGATAGTTTGCACATCCTGCAATCAGAAAACCCTCAGCATCTTTCAACAAAAAGCCAGCCCATTCAAGCACCCTGCAGACCATGCCTTCCTGCAGTGCCAAGGCTGCATCTCACAAACCACAGCATGAAACTCGCGGTTTTCATCAAAACCTGCATCACTCCCAAAACACCTGAGAACCTCTATCTAGGAAAAATTCTTTCAAAGAGCTCCACTGATCCGCCTGTAACGCATCCTCAGACTTCACCTTTCTCTCACTGTCAGTGTGGTACTAAGTCTCTAAGTCTCCTTCTGAAGTTTCTCAAAAGCTAGTTTTGAAACAAAGGTGAAAAAAAGCGGATCGCACTGAACATACACTTCGTTTTTTCAAGTATCTTCCAAAAAGATACCTTACACCATCTTCCTTACACCATTTTCTCCTGGATGCATCAGCACTTACTCAAGAGCATTGCCCTCAATCTGCCTCCCTATCACAGCTTCCACCCCAACCGCGCTGAAAGGCATCCGAGAAAGGCTGCACTGCCACCAGTCTTGAGGGAGAAAGGAGAGAAGGAAGCTCCCTGAATCTCTGCGTCAGAGTACGTGGATCCCGGGAGCAGCTCGGCTGCTCCAGGTCACACTGTGAACTCAGCGCTGGTGACACCTACACCTCACACAAAGGCAGATGTACTGCCCTGAGTGATCGCTTTCACGCATAAGGAGAAAGCACAGAACGGCCCGCTTTTACCTGACACAACTTACGTCAAGCATAGTTTCTTGGGACAGTCAAATTTCTCAGCGCGCTGAGAAAAGCATCGGGCAAAGAAAAAAAAAAAAAAAAAGCCCGAAAAAAAAGAAATCACTCACAACCGCGTTCGTACCTAAGCAACGAGCAAAGCTGACAGCACGCATCACCGCTCCACTTTATTACCTAGTCCTGAAACTCCAACAGGA